CTAATCTGTTTTAAATTCATGAAATACATATTAGTAAAAATTTCAGGAACTCATGACTAAAATACAGATGTTCACTTTGCAATGAGTATATTTGGTTTTATAAAAATGAATATTTACATCATCATTTTTAAAGTGGCCTGGTAATGTCATCTCTTCTTTCTGTTAAAATGTTTTGTAATTTCTGTAGTAGCTCTTCAGTCGTTCATTTTGATTACATTAGCGTATGACTAGCATCCGTGTCGGGCCATGCCTTTCTCAGAGGACTGTATTTACTACTTATTTTTGGCCTAATATAAAAGGGATAGGGAAGGACTTGGAGACTGGAGGCCCTTGAGCTAGATTTCTAATCTAGGCATTTTGCTTTAATCCTATGGATCATTTGTATGCTGAGTCCTGCTGTTCCAAGATGTCAGCATGCTGATTGTGGGTGAGACTCAGTGCTAACTCTGGATTTTACCCATGTGTTTCAAAGTTGAATGTTAAATTCTAAATAAGTTATAATTTTGTAACAGATATCTTTAAGTGACAGTATTACTAGGCCATTTTTGAGGCCTTTGTGTTTAAGCACTTTAAAATAAAAATTTATCAAAGAATATGACCTGACATTTGTTGAGGTAACAGTGAACTTCAAGATTGTAAGTTAAATTATATTTTTATTTCCCTGAAATTTTAAACTTAAATGTCCAGCTCGCTGCACTTTCCTGAAGGTGCTTTCTTATGAAGCCAGTGGCCAGCTGGCTCTGGAGTTGGAATCTTGGAAGGGCAGGACCTCTGTGTCTGTTCCACTTCCTGTTCACCCAAACTGCTTCAGTTTCTTCTGCCACCACCCCAGAGCATCAGATGTCTCTTTCAGTGTTGTCTCTGTTTAGGTTTATATACAAGTGATGAACTTCCAGTTATCAGTAGAAAAATAGACTTTTCCCATTTATCTTAGTGAAAATTTGAAAAAAGGCTTCCCTTTAAAACCAGGTTTGTTTTTTTTTTTGTTTTTGTTTTTTTGTTTTTCCGGTCATTTTGAGACAGGGTCTCCCTGTAGCCCCAGCTGTCCTGGAACTCACTATGTAGAGCACGCTGGCCTTGAACTCACAGAGATCCACCTGCTTCTGCCTACCAAGTGCTGGGATTAAAGGCGTGTGCCACCACGCCTGGCAAAACCAGGTTTTTTTTGGAAAATTTGAAAAAAGGCTTTCCTTTAAAACCAGGTTTGTTTTTTTTTTTGTTTTTGTTTTTTTGTTTTTCCGGTCATTTTGAGACAGGGTCTCCCTGTAGCCCCAGCTGTCCTGGAACTCACTATGTAGAGCACGCTGGCCTTGAACTCACAGAGATCCACCTGCTTCTGCCTACCAAGTGCTGGGATTAAAGGCGTGTGCCACCACGCCTGGCAAAACCAGGTTTTTTTTAAGCATTCTCAAATTTTTGTATCAGAATTCTCCTAATCATGTCAGAATAACAAGAAGGTTTTTAAAAACCTGAGAAACATCTTGAAAATTATGCAGTTTGTAACTGAGTTGTTGGGCCCAGTAGGTAAAGCAGGATATTGTGCTTCTGCAGGTGGTGTGGTGACACGGCACAGCAGCGTCTCTCTCACTGCTTCTCTTTGCATGTCTTAGGAGAGCAGACGCTCTGGCAACAGTTCTGTTTCCTCTGCTTCTCACGACTAATTTTCATTTTTTTTTCCCCTCAGACTTTGGTTGATTGTTTCTTTGGCATGAAGCAATAGAAAGGAAACATCAGAACTCTGGGTAGTTTATAGGTGCAGGAAATTTCAGTCTTTCAGTAGTGAGTAGGTCTCCTATTTAAAGGATTCAGCTACTATGCTTGGCAATCATGGGCTTATTTCTAGGAAACCCCATTTCTGAACGTGTATCTCCAGCCCTCCCTGTGGACTTGCTGGGGCTCTCTATATTAAGAGCATACAGTTTCTGAAGGGAACATGTGTTCTTTTTTAGCAGTCTTCGAAAAGCTTAGGAGACCTGACAGGACAGGGATAGCACCCCCACTCTCCATGGTGGGAAGTCAGTTTGGTGCCTCTCATTTCTGGCTCTGGAATGCTCTGTGGTTGGCAAGTTCTCAGTTTGTTGGGAATCACTGCTTTAGGGGGCCACTCCTGGCCTTGTGCATATGTTGCTGGCAAAGGTTGGGAGTGGATTGAAGCATTTGTAGAAGGAACCTTTCCAACCTAGAGGGGCAGGACGATGTGATGTGAATATCACAGCCTTTTGA